AAAAAAAAGTAAATCATGTTTATAGCCATGTCTTTTATAAGCTAATAAAACTTCTATTTTTTGAAAATTATAGGTTTCATACATTGTTTACATAGTTATTTAAAATATTATCTGTTAACTTTTTCTCAATGTTACGAGTAATAAAAATGATTAAATAATTATCATAAAGAAGGGAATTTCATTTTTGATAAATTCAGCATGTGTATGTTTGTCCATGTATAAATATGTTGACTAAAATGGATTACATACAAGCAGCTTGTTTATTTGTGGACTTTTTTATATTTATAGTTTGAGAAAGTTGCTTAAACCCTGTTTTAACATACATATTTCTTAGATCTTTATTTCTATATTTTTTCAATACAGAAAGCGGAGCTCTGGTGGTTTACCAATGGAAGGCTTAGAAATGAGAGTATGTTATATTTGTTCATTAGTCTTTACTTACATAGACATAAGCTCTCAAAGTGATAAGTTATTAAACATGTGAATTTCAAAATTATTAAGTTCTCTAAAACCTGCTCTGAACTTTTTTGCTAACAGTAGGTCAGTCGCCCTTTCTTGTAATATAAGTTTTCATTTTTTTTCTATTGTAGCAGTAACATTTTAATAAAAAGAATCTGTTTTATGTTCTTTGGATTTTGTCTGGACTGGTAAAATTTGAGCTTTGTAAAGACTGGAATGAGTGAATCTTTTTATGTACAAACTTTAACAAAAACAATTAACCCAAAATTGAGAACTTTGTAAGAATTAATATAGATTTTAATATGAGATTGCCTCCAAATGTTTTGAAATTTAAATAAAGTTTATATGTTTGTATTTGCTATTACATAAAATACTGTAATATTTGTGGAATATTCAAGTTATTTCCTTTATAACACAGGACATTAACAGACACGTTTCTTTTACCCCTCACCCTACCTTTTCTAACCAGTGTGCTGTAGGTATTGAAGGCCACAGAAAGCCTTCTTCAGGAGTAACACCAGCAAAGTAAGTATTTTGTTTTCAGTCTCAAGATGGTGAACTTGATGATTTTAGAGAAACTGATGTTGATAATATTTATTCTTTCAGTTGAGATTATAATGAAATATCACTGTGAATTGAATATAGTAAGAGCTCTCAAATCTAAGAGGATAAAAAAGTGATTATAAAATGATTGGTAGTAGAAAAATACTTATTATACATATTACTGTTGTTCAGTTTTAGTGTATGTATGTGCAAATTCAGTGTGTATGTCTACATAATAAAGTTAATCATGAATAAGACATTATTCAAGTACAGCAGATACTGTTGATATGTTCATAATTTTGCCAATAGATGAAATACAGAGTATAATATTGGTAGTGATCTTGACACAAGGTTAACACGTTGCGGACGGGTCACAAGTTTACTTGTGTTTCATGTAGAGCATCTTTGTGTGCCATTTATTAAAACATTGCATTCGAAAGGAGTTAGACACATTTTATTTTGTTCTAATGATAATTTGTCAGATCTTCCAAGTGAAGATGAAGATTCTGATGGTGGATCATTCTGAAAGTGATGTTGTTAGACCTACAAAGATACATAAAGTTGTTTGCTCTCAACTGATTTCGAATCAGAAAGTGATGATGATTCTACAAATGTTCCTGTTACTGATTTGTTTTCCCGTTGTGATAATGATAATTGGACAGAAATAGATATTCCAATGAACTTGGAAATGTTTCAAGGAAATCCAGGGGTCACTATAACTCCATGACAAGTCTAATGTTTGGTGATGATTGTTTGAAATGTTTTGTCAGGAAGTGTGTACCTACAATAACCAACAAGTCTAATGTTTGGTGATGACTTGTTTGAAATGTTTTGTCAGGAAATCTGTACCTACCATAATCAAACTGCAGATAAACATAAAATGTCATCTAAAGGACATTAATGGTCTGAAGTTAAACCTACAGACATGAGGAAATTCCTAGGCCTTATTCTACTAATGGAATAGACAAAGAAATATAACTGGAAAGATTATTGGTCAACAGATCCACTTTTGATTAGCCCAACATTTTTGCAGACAATGAGCTGAAACAGATTTGAACAAATTTGGACATTTTGGCATTTCAATGGTAATCAGTAAATGGATGAGTCTTCAGGCAAACTTTTCAAAATTCAACCAGTACTGGATTATTTCCTCAATAAATTCAGGACACGATACAAAGCAACAGTTATCATTGGATGAAAGCATGATTCCATGGAGAGGACATCTAAGATTCCAAACATACAGCCCTGCAAAAATAGTAAAATATGGCCTGCTGGCGAGAGTGACACAGGTTACATTTGCAACATGGAGATTTATACTGGTGAAAGGAAAAAATTGCAGGATACTATTCTTTCAGTTCTTGCTCCCAATCTTGGATTGTGGCACCATATATACCAGGACAGTTGTTACAACAGTACTTCCATTGCAAACCTGTTCCTAGAACATAAAACAAGAGTCTACAGAACAATCAGAGTGAAGACTGAAGTTTCAACAATGAAAAAAGGTGAAACAGCTTTTTGTAGACAAAGGTGATGTTCTCATTTTCATATGAAAAGATAAGAGAAGTGAGAATGGTTTCAACCATCCTTGACTCGTCTGTTTCTACCACAGGAAAGAAAAATAGAATAACTGGAGAAGAAATAAAAAACCTGTGTGTGTTCTCCAATAGAATGCCCACATGAAAGGTGTTGATCGTGTAAATCAGTACCTCTCATACTACACCATTTCATTCTCAGAAAAACAGTGAAATGGACAAAAAAGTAGTACTTTATCTAATAAGTTACAGATTTTTCAATTCATATATAATCTACAAAGCCCTGAATCAACAGAAAAAAAAATATATAAGCAGTTCCTCTTCTCTGTGGCAAGAGAATGGATTACTGACAAAGAGAAAGAAGGCTCACTGGAACTAGAGAGGAATGAACCCGGTCCATCATCTGAAGGTACAAGGAGAACCCCAAATAAGGATCCCCCAGGAAAACTGTTTGGTGGCATGAAGCAGCATATTACTGTGTTCATTTCATCTACAGAAAAAAAAGAAATTTCCTACCAGAGCGTACAGAGTTTGTACTGCCTATGGGAAAAGAAGTTAAACGTGATATACGTGCAAGTTTTGTGCAGTTCCAGTCCATATAGGAAAATGTTTTACTAGATACAACACTTTAAAAACTTAGTAGGTGTATTCATATACATACTCTGTAAGTTTGAAATAAATAATAAAAATTATAATTGAGTTGTGAATAAAATAATACACGTCCGACCCTTTCAAACTCAACATTTTAATAAATGGCACATAAAGATGCTCTGCACGAAACACGGGTAAACTCGTAACCCGTCCACAATGTTTTAATATGGAAAATATTCTTGAATGTGAGATCTTTAAATGAAAGTTACATCTTTTATTGAAAATCATGATTAAAACATATGATAATTTTAGAGAAATTAATGATAACATCATAGACCTCAGAGTGAAATCTTTAAAAGCTATAAAAAAAACATTTATTTTCATCCTTTACTTACCTTATTGTTCTCAAAATAACCCCCAAAAGAAACACCAAAGCTATGATTTTGAAAGTAAACTACATTTTTAATGAAAAAATTGCTGCAAAATTTTTTGTATGTAGTCAAGTCATGATGTTAACATGATCATGGAAATATAATGATTTTTCAGCATAACTCAGAACATTAGAATTTGTATGGTAAAATCTCTCATCACACACACACACACACACAAACTAATTCACCTCTTCGTGGAAATCTTGCAGATGGCTATAGAAATTCACATTTATTTTTGGTCAAATATAAGTTGTTTATATATTTAACTCTATATTTGGGTTTGTAAAATTTACTATTTTCTTGACATATTTTAAAAAGAAGCTTTAAAAAAACGTTTTCTTTTGCAGTAGCCTACTGGTAGGCCTGACATCAGCTCAAAACATTTTCATTCTGGCACTAGATAGTGACTTTGCAGCTGGGCATTTTATTGAAAATGGGAGTGTAATCTGTTACTGGTCACTGCTCTTTTATAACCTTTGAATGCTAGGGTATAGGATTCACATGGATTTCAGGATTATATTTTTGCACCTGTTCACAATATAAGGGCTTTAACTGACAGTTGTAAGTCCACAAACTTATGTCCACGGCAGGAAGTGCCAACTGCTTGCTGAAGTCATTCTAGTTTTCAAAATTCACCTTAAAAAGTAAGCAATGAACTTTTTAGCCTCAAAGATTTTAATCATGACATTTGCCTTACTGACTGATCTGTGGCTATAGGTGTTCTAAAATGTATACCATTTAAAGTCATGACATATTCACTGTCACTGGATTGAACTAAGGGAAGAACTTGGTAAATCATAATTTACATTTTGCAAATTTTCAGTCAGTGTTTATACTGCAGAAATAAGCAAAAATTAGAATGCGATGGGGGAAAAGCCAGTTGTACAGTATTTTTTTACACTTAATTTTGTTGTCATCACCCTGTTTTATTTATATAAAGGTAGGTTTCTAAAACAAACAAGTTCAAGTAAAATTCACACACACACACATATATATATATATATATATAAAAGATGAAAGCTTTATTTAAATACAGATTAAAATAAAATATCATTCTGAAATATTGTTATCTAGTTGAAATGGAAGCATGCTTTGAGGGTTCATTGAGATTAACAATGACATTTTATTTTGTCTGTACTAGGTACATTTCCATGTTTTATTGGAGTATGTTTTTCTATATGATTAAACGTACACCTTGGTGAAGCAATGACTGATTTTAAGCAAATGACCATTTGTTGTTTGGTATCATATCCTTGAAACAAAATTATTTTTAATTTTTAGAATTTGGGTTAAATTTGTGGATAAACTTTACCCGTCACAGATATATAAATTTTGATCCAGTATTGACCCCATCTATTGGATAATAAATAACAAACATCAAATATCAAACTTTTTTTCAATGAAAAAATACATGAACTTGGAAAGCAAAATGGTTTCATAACCGCTTTAGTTACATTACAAGAAGGAAATATGAAATATATTCATGACCTAATAATTTCTTGAAACAAAATGTTAAGATGGAGAAAATTGACTCTAAAACTTGCACGTATAAACATCACCAGAAATCTTTCACCAAGCTTGTTAATTTATTACTTGTAATCTTGAAGAAATTTTACTAAGAAACTTGAGAAACTGCAATTGTGCCATTTTTTTATACTATTGGTAATACAGAACAATGTAGCTTATGGGTGGGAGCTTATAGGTTTAAGCAATTTTGCATATAAATTATCTGTTTTATATTCTGATTTGTTTACCTTTTAAGTGTAGACCACTTGCTTCTTCAAGACTGGTTTTTTACACATCCATCCTTGAGAAAAAAGCAAAAACATCAATCAATCCTTTAGTTTTAATCTCCTGTGAAATGCCACAACCCATAAGCAAAATAATCTGTTAGGAAAATAAAACTGCCTTCACTGGAGCCTAGTCTGTCTTTTCCAAATCTTACACTTATGTCTTTTTGTCCCGTATTCTTCAGAATACAGCACAAAGAAGTTGGAGTCCTTTATTCTGTTGATCCCCCAGATAATCTTGTAAGCTTCAAGATGTTCACTTAACTTTCTTTATTTAAGAGTAAATAAGTTATCTTAATATTCCAAGTGAGACCTAACTAGTAATTTGTATAAATGAATTGTTACCTCTTTTGACGTTTAATCAATGTCTCTAAATACACCTTGATATTCTATCAACTTTTCCATTAGAAACAAAGCGCTGTCTCTATGGCTTGAGTGACATATCCTCCAATAATCCAAGATCCTTTTCCTCTGTCATACTGTTAAAATGTTTGACAGAAATTATGAAAATCTAAGTGCATTACCTTGTATTTACTATAATCATAGGTCATGTGCCAAATAATTGTACAACTGACCATTTGATCCTAGTTATTTTGTAGCACCTCAACATCTCGAATACAACTGGAAACACCAGAGTTTAGTATTGTGTGCAAACTTTAATAATTTGCTAATTATGGCACTTATCAAAAGTTTCTTGAAAATCTAAGTACATCAAGTCCACACCCTTTTCATCAAACAGAGAACACATAACATCTTTATATTTTTTACTATAATGGATGTAGTGTGTATGTCATTATCTACATATGTAACCAAAACTCCTGCACCATCTACTGAATGACACCACAAACAAAAATCCATAAAAAGTTTCACACTTTGGATATTCAAGATTCAGACAATTAGAAAAATAACTGTGATATGTGCATATCTTTATAGTAGAACACAACTTTAATAAAAGTACTCTTCTCAAAACAAGAACATGACTTTCACATGAGGGTTTGATTATATCTTTATTGATGTAATTTTTAAATGTAGTGCTGGTAAACTGGAGTTCTTAAAAAAAACTATCATTTTTTCAATAAATGGTACCAGTTTTAATATACAAAAAACATTACACTTTATATAAGTAAAAGTTTGAGCTCTCTACATTGAATCATTTTGATGCAATGAGTGGTGTATGACTAAAGAGCACAAGCTGAACACTTTTCTCATGCAGTATTTCGTAGAAAAAATCCTTTTTAAGAAAATGATCAATTTTTCTAAAATAAATTTCAATGAGGTCTGAACACTATAATTAGTAATTACTAGCACAAACAGCTGCCCATAGGGTGGCGTTTCTGCTAGTACATATAAAAATATTCCCTTTAGTTAATCCACCATGATTTTCTTATATGATATAATTTCACTAGGCTATTTGGCAAACCTTCTTTTATCAAACTGTTTAGAATTTTTCCCATTACAGAAGTAAGATGAACTGGTATATAATTTCCAGGACAACTCTTATAATTAATGCCCTTCTGTAAAAGTAGGACTAGCATCAGCAACCCTCCAATCTTCAAGCATCTGCCCACTCTTGACCTACCAAAAATAAGAGATAGAGATAGGCTTGCACAATACTGCAATGTAACTGAAGTTTGTTGTCCAGTACTATTTCACTGTTTTCAAATGTTGTCTTCTCTGTGTATTTTTAGTTTTGTAGGGTATGATACCTATTTTAGTATGTCTTTTATGGTATATTTAAATATATATATATATATATCATTAGTTATAGAATTATATAATATTTGTTTATTGCTGAGTAATAAGAGACTATAAAAGGTTTATCACACTGAATAAGAATGATTAGCACATGCTAATATAATGAATGTGACCACAGGTGGGAAATGTAGCACTACAAGCAACATGTTTAACACATATATTTGGCTCACAAGATATACATCTGTATTTGAAGAATGTGAAGTTTGAAAACAGCCTTACTGGGGGAATGATATTTGTGTAGCTAGATAGTGAAGTGATATAGAGTGAAAAGACAATATTCAGAAGAAGGGAGTCTTGGATGTCAAGGTGTGCAGTCTACAGTTAACTTTGCTAACCTTAGAAATTTGTTTCAGTGACAATTGTAGTGTGTGATAGTAGCATTATCATGATACAAAGCACTATTAATAATGAAGGAACAAGTTCCAAGGACAACAATGGACCTGAAATGTTCTTATAAAGTGTGATTAACTCTCGGTAAAACCTTTAATTACAGTGGGTGGGCCAACTGTTTATAATATTTTTCTTGCAGTAAAAATAGTTTATTTTGAGTTGAACAAATTGATATGCTTCTCTGTGTGTAAAAAACAATACCTCTTTTTGATGTAACTATTTTTTCTTTTACAATTGCAGGAAAGTGAAATACTGAAGTAAAAGAAGAGTGTATAGTGCAGCAAGTCATTTTAATGTTGGTGCAGACTAGGTGATCATATGGTTGTTCTAAACAATCTTTGAGATCAAATTTTGTACTTAAATTTGATGATAAATATTTACAGGCAAGCTCTAAATGAGATACAAAGTTAACCTGTAAAATGACTTCTCTGCATTCCATTTAGAGCATTTGTATCTTTCCAGGTTTGTGCACTGGATCTATGTTTATATTATAAATGCATAGAACAATTTTATGGAAAGAAGTCAAAATTGTCAGAGAAATAAGATTGTCTTGAAGCATTCCAGCTATTTTCTGTTACATAGTGTGAAACAATAAATTTCCTTTCAGATACTATGATACAATATATTCACTATGCATGACTCTTAACATGACATGTAATTTTGTAAAGAATGTAAAAAATACATTTTTCTTAAACAAGTACATAACCTGTAGTAGTTACTGAGCATTAATATTTTTGTCAAATATAAAAATAATCTTTTAGCAACAGACTAATTTTTCCAAGAATATACTGCTGCATAAGAAACTATATAAATGTTAGGTTTGTTTATAAGCACTATGTGTTAATATTTACATAGACTTTGGGTACTTTAAGATACTTCTCTGTTGTTTTCAATGTACATTTTAATTGTGAAAATTTACTTGTTTCATAAAGTTTTTTACCCAGAGTTTTTTGTTTTATGAATTCTGAAGTTATTCAATGAAATTTCATAGTCTGTTTTTTAACTGTTGGTTCAATTGTTATAACTTCTGTAGTCATCTCAACTTCTTAAAATACAGATTGACTTAGACATGATTTTATTGTTTTGTTCATTCTTCTTTTGAATCTCAATAGAAATGTTTACTTGGGAACAACTATTTTGAGAACAGGTTGTGTTTTTAATGTTATTGTTAAGTGACATAACAAACATGTGATATGTTTAGAAATGAAATGGAGAAATCATTTTCACATCTATGTAATATACATTTTCATAAAACCATGCCCTGGAAAATAGGATTAAAGAAAACTAAAACAAATTAAAATTTCTTTAAGATGTTCTTTATATTTTTTAACCTGTACACATAGTTTCAAATTTAATAAAGAAAATTAAATCCAAACATTATGTTTGAAAAATGTCTCCATCCAGTTAGTCATTAATTAAAAGGTATCAAAGAGAAGAAAAGACTACCTTCTGCTGTGGACTGCGTTTTGCCTATTCAAGACTTACCAGTACAGCTTGTGCCAGCAAATCAAAGAAGTATAGTTAGGCCTCTTGTAATAGTGACGAGCCTTGAATAGGCAAAACTGCAGTCCACAGCAGAGGTTACTGTCAGTTAGAGAATGCATTAAGCCTGTAAGTGACATGATATTTTCAAATTTTACCTTTGATAAAAAAAGAAAAGAAATTGTAAGGTACATATAGCATCATTAAACAGTTGTTTTGGTATATAATATCGAATAATAAATTAGATGCAATACTATAATATTATTCACACACCTAAATTCATTTAGGTTATTATATGGTGAGTTAAAATAGGCATACATTCACATAAATCTTACACATGCATCAACTTTATAAGCGGCCTAACTTGTATTTCTGTGGTTTGCTGGCACAAGGTGTACTGGTATGCCTTGAATAGTCAAAACTGCAGTCAACAACAGAGGGTTTGACATATCAGAGAATGCATTAAGTCTCTTCTTCACAGATACTTTCAGTTTTACATTTGGTAAAAAAAGGAAAAAAATCTGTTAAATACATTATAAAATTATTAAACAGTTAGTCCGCTGTATAATACTTAATAATAAATAATGCCATAATATTAATCACTCATCTAAATTAATTTAAGTTACTATATGGTGAATTAAAAACGACCTAAAAACTCCATTAAACTTATTTTTTTACAACTTATGAGAGTCAGTGGTGTATGAAATGACATAAGATTTATAACCAAAAGCAAAAGTGTTTAAATCGAAGAAAATCATGCAGTATTGAATAAACATAGGCTCATATACCTTGGTGTATTGGCATACAAAATTTCTTAGCTATTCTTCAAAAAGCATGGGCATAGTTTGTTTTGAGTCTTATGTTACATTGCACATTTCAGTATTTAGAACTACGTAGTTTTATGACATGTATTTAGTATCTGAAGGAGTTTCTTCGTCCACAAGAACTTTTATCGGAGAAATAAACTTTGTGGGAAAATGGAGCTGATAAAAATTTAGAGAATAATTTCTTTAAATGTAATATTGATATTATTTTACTGTGTATATCGTGTGATATTCTCAGGTGGAACTCATTTCCGCACAAGTATTAGATTAGTCTACTTTCAAGAAAATTATGAAGTGACTCCAAGTTTAACTAAATAACTGAGTTCAAGCTAAGAAAATACTGTACACATAAAGTGAAGCAATCTTTATTATTATTGAAAAGCAAAGAAACGCTGTATGTACTTGGGTGGATACTGGACAATTGTCTGTTACTAGATTTACGAATCGGATAGCAGATTTTGTCTCTAAAGATATCTTCGTGACAACCGAATCACTTTGAAAAGCCCCCCAGTGGCGCAGCGGTATGTCTGTGAACTTACAACGCTAGAAACCGGGTTTTCTGTACCGTGGTGGGTAGAGCACTGATAGCCCATTGTGTAGCTTTGCGCTTAATTCCAAACAAACAAACACCTTGAAAACCGAATAGAACTGATGTTAATTCAACCTCTCAGGTTTACCCATAACGGCTTGCGTTAGCACGTGAATGGCTGTTCTCATACAACCTAGTGAAGAATGTAAACTAGAAATATGTATTTGACCAGTGAAGGACATTGCTGTCGCTGACTTGTTCTGCACAATATGGGAAGTTACAGCAATATGCCTGCAGGGAAAGTGATACTATCTGTTAGAAAGCAAAAAAAATAATAAAAAAAAAATACAACGAATTAAAACAACAGTTTACTGGACCATATGTTTATGTGTAGACTGCATAGAATCAGACTACATGCTCAGTTTCTGTATATACAGGATTGAGTACATTATATTATATATATATATATATATATATATATA